GGGCGGAGTGTTAGTACTTGGTGGTGGACGAACTAATTAAGACCGTTTCTACTGCTCGCATTTTTGACGAGGGTCTTTGGGAGGTGTCTCTGTCACTGGAGTTCAGAGTAGGTGTTTGAGATAGTGAGGTGCGCGGAGGTTCTTCGAGAACTGGCGGGCGCGAGATGATCGAGGTGGTGCCCAGACTACAGTTATCGTTCTGCCTCCCAACGCTCCTGCTTGTCGTACGAATGACCGCACTTCCGTGTTGTGTTTTCTTGCGGAGTATGTGTGAGTCTTTCTGATGGTCGGGGTGCGCTGGATGTGTGTGCTTTGGTATACCTTCGTTTGATGGTCTGCCAGTTTGAGTTGATTTGAGCTTTTCGAGAATTTGTTAGAAGGCGCGGTCAGGTAAGACTGCGGTCTTTGAGTTTTGGTGTTGTTGTGGCGTTGGTGGTGTTGCCGTTTCAGAGTATTGGTGAGAGTGGGGAGGACGATATAGGTAATTTTGTTCATGTCCTACGTTCAGGTAATCAGCGAGGATTCCTCATGACGAGATGGTGACCGCGAAAAGCGGGCAGAATTTGGAAATAATGGATGTCGAGAAAAATAACGGTAGGGGGTGGGATGTTCTTGGATTGAAGATAGGTTGTGGGTGGTGTGTGGTATAGGCTGAGGGTAAGGTGGTCGAAGGGTGGATATCTGTTATACCGGTTATGTTAGGTGAATTGTTTTGGTATTGGGAAGGGGAATTGGGTGGGGGCTCGGGTTGAGGGGGATGCAGTTGAAGAAAATGGTGGGGATCGTATTCTCCGAAAGTTTTCCTTTCTGACAGGACGTGAGAGGAAGGTGGGAAGGGGGCGGCACTTCGTAAACCGAGTATTTGTTAGACATCGTCCCTTGTGGCAGATTTTCGTTTGAGGTCCCTGAAAACACTGCTCTGTAAGTTATGAAAGTACCAGTTTCGTCAACCCTTCACTTCACCGATTTTCAATTTGCAAAACGTCCAGTACCGGAAGGTGCGAGGAAGCGACTGTGAGCCAGGAGGAGGGGGTGGTTTGGGTGGGGTGGTGGGGGTTGTGGGCGGTGATGGGGGGGCGTTACTCGGGGGCGTAGAAGGTTGGTCGAGAGTGGAGATTGAAGGTGAGCCTTGCATGATGTTTATTTGGTATGAATCAGTTCCTTCGACGTCCTTCTCGACACGTGAGAACTACCTAACGCTGATGGTAACAGTAAACATTTGGCGTCTGTGGATGACTATCGTGCATGTCTTGGGCGCTCTCTTGGTCCATTATGTGGCAGTATATACTCCCCATATTCCGTTGATGGGGTAGGCGTGGCTGCGTACGTCATCTGAACTTAGCGCGATTGGGCTTTTGCTCGGGTATTGCTATTTTGAGGCAGTAGTAAGCATGTCCTGGAGCGTAAGACAGAATGACAGTTGTCTCAAATGGAAATATCGCACCAAATACGCATCCTACATCATGTTCAAATGAGGAGCACGGCGACGCTCACTTCATCTTCGGGTTAAGGGACGCATATAGCATCCAGTATGCAACTGGTACCATTTCCTAGCTCTGTGCGACCTTCCAGGGCTTCACAGAATGCCCTTCATATCTGCAGGAGTTTATCAAGTGCCAAGTGCAGTCCGGAGCGGACTAGCGCTGTCCAAACAATATCAAAGTCATTACTGTAAGAAAAAACTCCGTATCGAATTTGGACAGTAAGAACTTCTGTTGATTGCGATAAGGGAGAGAGAGAGAGATATTTCTCATCGGAGACGTTTAATGGGTCTGGTCGGACGGTCGGACAGCCCCGCCTCGCGTTAGTCAATGTCCGAGGTCATAGCCCTGATTAGATGACCGTTCTCTTCTCAAACAACTAGGGCTGATTCAGAAATGATTGAGTTTCCTTTTCTCGTTCCATTACAAGATTTCTTTGACATTTCGCTATTAAGTTGACTCATGATTTACTGCGACCGTTTACTCATTTCGTCCTTTACTTTCGTATGATTACTGCTTACCGTCACCGATTACAGTATATTTAGGAAGAATGGTTGACGAATACCGCAGTTCGATCAGTTCCCGCCCGGCTTTCAACCGGACCACGACGAGCAGCACTCAGAACTACTCCACACCTGGTAAGTTACTTACTGCCTGGGCCAAATAAGTCTTCGAGTGCCTTCTCTTAGTATGGTTCTTCCTATACATTACATCCATCAGACCTTATCAGTTACCGCTAACTGGTAAATTAATGAACGAAAACTGTGATGCCGTGGATGATTGATCACTTTATTATCAGTTGGGGTGTTTTGATGAAAGTTGGCGGTGCACTGTTGCAACCACTTGCCAATTCGAATCAAATAGCACGTTTACAGGGGAGGGCAGGATGTAGTGCAGCAGGAGCTCTATCTGCGGGTTGGCTATTTATTACCAGTCTGGTTCAGGAGGATGAGCCTCTTGAGCGGTCAGTCTGAGGCTTAGCCTAGAGACCATATGCACATTCAAATGCCCTCCCGAACACACCTAAATTGATAAAATTTTCGCCGAGCTCAATCCCTTTGAGCCCACCTCTCCTCCGAATATTCTCATCCATTGGATGCGACCTTTTCCTTGCGCCAGGCAGCGCAAGGGGGGAGGCCCTCCGCCCGTTCCCCCCCCCGCCCCCTCACCAGGGATCGCCAAGATACAACGTGTCTTGGTGCTACTTCCTTCCATAGCGGCTTTTTGAATGCGATATGGCTTATGCAATGACTTACGGGGGTCAGTTGATGGCCAACTCAGTGTTATTGTCATCCCAGGAAAATCTGGCACCAATTTGCTGTCCACGGGTGCTGACTGCTTTGTTGGCCCTTAGTTGACCGGGATCGGACACCGCGCATGTTGTAGGGAAGGGAAGAACAAGCGAGTGTTTTCATCATCAAGTTAGGTCCGGTTCAGGCTACCCGACCCCGGCGTGATGGAAAGCTTAGCTAACTGGGGTAGATCTGACATTTGACGTGACATCTGACCCGAAACCGAGCTATTCGAGCCAGGACACTTGCTACTGCAGCGCCTATGCCCCATGAATTAATGAAGTTAGCGCTTGTGTTCGGGACCTGAAACTTGAAACTTGCGCATTTTCTATTTTCGATATACCACCCAATGGCTTTGCAATGGAAAATCAATCTCCATAATGGGACGGAAAGTATGTGTACATAGGTACCGTAGCACGAGTGGCATTTTACGGGGAATGGTTCTTACTGCCGAACAGGATTCTCCATGCTTCTTCATGACGTACAGCAGTGATGAGTAATGAGGCATGTAACGGACGTGACGCACAGCCGGAGAGCTCTTTTTCTACTGATAACTTTTTCAAATCGAAGGCGTAAGGTCCGCTTCGCCCATGCCGGACTCTGTTCTGCTCATCGTAACCGACATAATCCTCTTCGGAGGCAATCCCCTCAACGCCTCGCCTCATCTTTCAGAGTTATCACTGAGCTGAGTTAGCCGAGCCGTAGACAAGGGAATTAAACCTTCCAGGGTAACCTGGAACCCAGGTAATGTTTCTGCCAGTAGCATCATAATAAAACAAATTTTTCATAGCTCTGAGCTATTTCTGGGCCAGGGGTCCTTGTTGTCAAAAAGGACAAGATGATAATCAGGGGCAACTGTTTGTCTAGTGGAGAGAATGCGGTACTGTGTGTCAACTCAGCTCAGTCACCTTGGGCTTTTACTGTCTTGCGACGTGGATTGTTTTTCTAACATGGCATGGTTTTTACTGCTCCTCGGCGCGGTTTTTGGCGACGGGGGAGGCACTTTGTACTTTTGCTTCTTTTCATCGACGTGTCGAGCCATCAAGTGAAGACATGTGAAACCTTGTGAAGCCACGAAATTATACCAGCTTAAGTTCAAAAGCAATATGCCCCCCTTGCCAAACTGCGCCTATGCTCCTCTTCCTTTGTTTCTGAATCTTACTTTTTCAGTGATTTCAGGTTTCATGCACTAATTATAGAGTGCAAGTTCTGGTTAATTATTGGCTTAGTGGCGGACAGATCATACAAACAGCACGGTCCTACCTGTGTTGGCAAAGTTTGTAGCAAAATTACCTCACAGTGTGACATGTGAAAATGTGTAGCAGTGGCCGCACACCTTGGTTACGTGATCCAAGGTCCGAGGTCTCCTACCGGCGCGCTGACGAGAGAGGGTCTGTGATATTTCCCTACCGAACTTTTTTGGCCAGTTCATTCCTTCCTCCTTCCATGTCATGAGCTCTGAGCCTCAAACCCATTCCTGACCCCCCTAGCCTCACCTGAACGACAGCTTCATATTCTCTCTTGAGAATCCGTAGGACCGGTTTAACCATCTGTCTTGGCACTGTCATATGTCTGCATTGGAACGTTCTTCACGCCATGAACTTCTGTTGGTTTTGTTACCACTCCGCCGAAGAAAAAAAAAATTGGCTCAATCGGTTCGGGGGCCCAAGCGTTTTTTCGTGAAGGCCACCGTTCTTTTCTGTACAAGCACTTTCTCTTTCCTGTCAATTCACTCTTGTACGTCACCCCTTACGGCGAGGATAATTATGTTGCCTAGCGCTCAAACTTCATAGAGAGGTTGGAGATATTTGGATTCTTGACCATCTGTTTCGCTGGCTTCTCACAAGACCTATTCTGCATTAGGAGCACAAAGATGCTTACGTGAATGCTGACACTGTTAATCAGTACACTATCCTCTGACTATAGCCTCCTTTTCCCTCAAGGGCACGACGTCGTGGCGGAAAGGAAAACAGGCTGTCAGTCACGACCTCCTACCTGAATCACCTACCTTTGACTAGGTACTCGCCTTTGTTTGCCTCCTATCTCCATGAAAAATCTAGGCGGCCAGGGAAGTGACGGAGAGAAACCAGAGACCAAACTAGGGAAATTTAGTTGAATCTCTGTTAGCCGAACATGTAAACTAACGAAGAAGATGATTTGTAAACAACTCCGACTTACTTGATCCCTTTAAGGTTCTGGTAATCGTGTGCTGAAGATCGTCACCGAGATGTCGTCTTCATCTGTGGCCAGTGGTCTGTCACCCTATGGCCAAAATGCGGCTTCAACGATTCGAGACGCCCGTGAAAGGGAGAAGAAAGAGATGAGCGATCTCAACGACAAGCTTGCCAGCTACATTGAGAAGGTCTGCGATTGAGCTCCTGGCTCTTTTCACTTTGGAATGGAATCCAAATCAAGAAGCCCCCGATTCCTTCCGTTTCTTTCAGGTTCGCTTCCTCGAAGCTCAGAATCGTAAACTGGGAGCTGATCTTGATATGTTACGCAATCGTTGGGGTAAAGATACCAGCAGCATTCGTAGCATGTATGAAGGAGAGATGAGTCAAGCTAAGAAGGTATGTCAACTCTGCCACAGTTAACTCAATGGCCTTAGCAAACAAACACAACGAAAATGTGTTTTTTCTTCAGGTGATTACTCAAACCGGCAAGGAAAAGGATGACTTGGAAAAAGAAATTCGCAAACTCCAAGATGATCTCAATGAATTCCGTAGAAAGTGATTAGTTTACTCTACTTTTATGTGTACGAAGTGACGTCATAAAAGTTACCATCCATGAGAACTCGTAACAGCAGAACATCCAGCATCATAGAACCCTTTATTGCAGATTCGAAGAGGCGTCGAAAGCTCGTCTTGGAGATCGTGAAAAGATCGACGAACTCCTCGTAAAACTCTCAAACATCGAAGCTGAAATTAATCTCTTGAAGAGAAGAATTGCCCTGCTTGAGGAGGAAATTTCTCGTCTGAAGAAAGAGAACATGCGTTTGATGGCTGAACTCCAACGTGCACGTACAGTGCGTTATCCCGTTTACTTTTTTTTATTCTTTACTGTAGGATGAAAACCAGTTGAAAACCGTTTGATGAGTCATTCGGCAATTTCCAGGACCTCGACCAGGAGACACTGAATCGTATCGATTACCAGAATCAGGTCGCCACACTTCTGGAAGAGATCGACTTCATCAACAGAGTCCACGATCAGGTAAGCGATCATTCTTCAAGGTAAAAAGTTGATTGGCCGGGGTTTGATGGTTCTTCAGGGTGATTATTGGGCGCGTTCGGCGACGGGGGGGGGACATTTTGCACTTTTGCTACTTCCCATCGATGTGTTGACCTATCTAACGGCCTCTTCTCGAGTTTACAGGTTTTATCATGGTGGCTTTGGCAACTTTGTCCGCTTTTACGACTTACAATTTCGGCTAATGTCTGAGCTTGTAGACGGCTAGGGAGCGTGATGGTACGAATGCCCCCCGTCGCGAGCGCGATGATTAGGTTTCTGGATTATAGCAAGTTTTGCCAGTGGGTAGTTGTGATTAGAATCAATGTTGCCCATCAGAGATACATGTAACAGTTTATTGGATCGCCAGAAGTTTAGATTGCTGTGGATAAGTGCCGTTTTTCACAATTTTCTTACAAGATTTTGGAATGGGCAGTGCCTTGGATTGTGGCGCGGTATCCTAGCTTTTTGAGGCAAGCCGAAAGTCTAGTATCGGGGAGGGGAGCTTTTAAGGAGAGGGCAACGGGAGTGCTGCGTTTTCGTAGATTATTTGGCTCAAGATGGCAATCAGGGGTTCTCTTGCTTAGAACTTCAGATCTGGAGTGTGTTCAGGTTTTGAGACTCAGTGGGAAATCAACCGCTGCGACCAGGTTCATTTTCAGCTCTCGCTATTTGAGCTCTTCAGCTCGATGGCTTCCTGGAGAATATCGGAGTCAAGTGCTGTTTAGAAGCAAGAAGAGAGCTATGACCTTTCCTTTTGACAATGACCAGTGAGGAAGCTCCAATGGAGAAACGTCCCCTCGGTGACAGTGACTTTTCGGATCATCCATATGTTGGGCTGGAGCTCCCTAATCTCAAAATGAGTACAGTCTTGTTCGCAGTGGATGTTGAGGTATGTCAAAGGGGCTGGATTGGCGCGGCCCCAGTGCCTTCTCCACCGATTGGAAGCTGACACGCCCTAACGTCCACAGCGGTCAGACCATAGGTAATGCTCACTCTTAAGTACAGTTCAACCAACGGATAATTGTTACGGATGCGAAAGTTTTGAGGAATAACCCACTTTGATTCCCTACGATGGTCTCTATAGTAAGGAACTATCGTGGATGCTTCTCGCACCGTTCCGCTCACCCCTGAGGAGCACAGTCGACGCTGATAATATGGGCGTAGTCAGTCTTGCTGTTATGCCCTGGCGCAACCTCTTCCTTCCCTTCCCGCGGTGCGAAAAGGGTAGCGCACCAATGAGGAAGGCGCAATCGTTGAACTGGCTCCGCCCACATGTGTGAACCTTTCTTCGCATTCACAAGGCAGGCACCTCATGGAAAAGCCATTTTAGGCGGAAAAGGGCAAGAACGCTCTAGCACTCGGCTGAAGGCTTCAAGGTGATATTCTCGGCTCAAACAAGGGAGACCATAATCTTGAACTTAAGCGTCACAGTAAAAAGTTACCGGTAACATACCGCTCACTTTCAGGAGATCAAAGAGCTGCAAGCCATGGCTGCCCGCGACACTACGAGCGAGAACCGTGAGTTCTTCAAGAACGAACTCGCTTCAGCCATCAGAGACATCAGAAGCGAGTATGATCAGGTAAGCAGAGGAATGCGGCTATGAACTTCTTGCGTTTGTGTGACCGACATATCCCTCATCGAACTTTTCCTCAGATGATGAACACCAACCGCAACGATATGGAGTCGTGGTACAAGCTGAAGGTGCAGGAGATTCAAACTCAAAGCGCTCGCCAGAATATGGAGCAAGGTTACCAGAAGGATGAAGTCAAACGCCTTCGCACTCAGCTCACCGACCTCAGAGGAAAACTCGCCGACTTGGAGGGCAGAGTAAGTCACGTTGTCTCTTTTCCATGTATACATTACCGTATCTGTTGAAACAAACTTTTTATCCTGTGCACTCCATAGGGCCATACTAGC